GCGTCAGAAACAATCCATCTGAAGAATCAAATGATTTGCACTGATTCTGGCTTTGGTTCCTAGCGTTAATTGCCTGGTACTTCATCGACACTCACCAATCTCACCCCAGCTGTGATGGCTGCTTTGTCAACTTGACACCAGCGACAGTCACCTAGGAAGAGAGAACCTAAGCTGAGGAACTGTCTCCATTAGATAGGATGGTTGGCATGTCTTGGGGCATTTTCTTAATTACTAATTGCTGCAGGGTCCAGCCCTCTGTGGGTGGTGTCATCCCCAGGGAGGTAGGCCTGGGGTATGTACTTAAGAGAAGCAGCTGGGTAAGGCGGAGGAAGCAAGGCAGTAAATTCCATTTCTCTCTGGTCTCTGCTTCAGTTTCTGCCTTCAGTTTCCTCCTTGAGTTCTTGTCATGGCTTCCCTTGGTGATGCACTATGGGTAAACTGTTGCCTCCCCCTCCGAGTGTGTGGTCAGGGTTTTATCTCAGCAACAGAAAAGCCAACTATAGCATCTGGTTAATTTTCACATGGAGACTTTTCTAAGCTTGTTTCAATACAGCATGATGCTTACAGGAAAGACACAGACTCCACGCTGTCTCCTTTCCCCTCCCAACATCTAGCATCTTCACCACGTAGCCAGGCTGATCTTGAACTTTCTATTCCCCTGCTGTCCTGAGTGTTGAGTTTCTAGGTGGACACCACCATGCTTGCCTTCCTTGTAAGATTATTTCATAAAATTATTGATAAAATAAATAGTATTAAGTAGAATAAGGAAATGTGTAATTCAGATACAAATTTCCATTCTAATATTTCTATAAAGGTTTTTGTAAAACATGTTTCTATTCTTTACTTTTTTATATCTATCCTGAAATGTAAAACTTTTGTCTATTTCTTTGGCATTTATCAACACACTATTAAAAATTTGTCCAAAACTAGTTTAATAACTACAGCTTTCCCATTTTGGACATACTGTATTACTAACTTTCTAATTTTGGACACGATGTATTACTTTCTTTACTTATTTTGTTCTTCTTACATTTTCCAAATATGTTTATTTAAAATAATGATTAACAATCAGGTTATATATTATTATTCAATGAGTTCTTAAATATTTCTTTAAGAGGTGATCCAAAGTGGTTATATTCTATTTTCCAATGGATATTTTCTTTGGCCTTCTTCAAATTTGAGTTAGAATCTGTGTGTGAGGTATGTGTATGTGTGTGTGCATGTGCATGTGCATGTGCATGTGTGTGTGCATGTGCTGTGATTGCTCTAGCTTGTATATAACTGTCAACAAGTCACCCTTAAACTATGACTAAAGTGCATATGTCTTCAATACAGTAAACTTGCAGACATACCTATTAATTCCACATTTTTGAAGATATCCTTCCAGAAGAGATTTTCTTATCACTCAGTTGGTCCATTGTAGGTCATGTATTGTTCTGTGATCTCCCTAAATTATCATCCCAGAAATTCCAATATCATTTCCTTCCATTTTAATTTGTCAGTGTGTGGGTTTTATATCCTTTTGGTTTTTTTCACCCTTATTCTGGTGATGCGACCTCTACTAATGAACAAGAAATCATGGGAGATCAAGTTTATGTTAATTTAAAAGGATGAAAATGTCTTTATCTACTCCAACACTGCATTTCCAATTGGGCTATTAAGTATAGGGTGGAAACAATATTCATTCATAATTTTTAATTAATTTATTTATTTTGGTTGCTTAGTACCTAGTAGCACTACTGAACCGGTCCATGCTGGTTTTCCTCTTTGGAAATTTTGTCTGCATGTCCTAAGTTTTAAAGCAGTAAGTCCTGGAGTAGGCCTCCTATGCTGAGAATCTTTTTATTTTTTCATTTTGAACTTCAATTTTGAAATATTTTGTTGAATTATTTTTGCAGTTGTTATTTTACAGTTCTTCTGTCCTGATGACCCATGTTTTTGCACGTTTAATTTCCTGTATCTTTTATTTTAATTGTGTATATATCATTGTCTAATTGTTATTTTCTATCACATTTTAATTTGTAGATATTTTCATTGCTTGCTTGCATCCCTTTTAAAGATTCATTATTTAAAAAAATATGCATGCATGTATTTGTGGGTATGTGCACATGAGTACAGGTGACTGTAGAGGGCAGAAGTAGGTGTCAGATCCTCTGAAACTGGAGTTACATGTGGTTGTGAGCTGTCTTATGTGGGTGCTGGGAACTGCTTAGGTCCTCTGCAAGAGCAGTGTGTGCGTTTAAATGCTAGGCTATCTGTCTAACTTCTGTGTCTTTTTAAATAAGATGGTTTTACTCAGTAAAATCAATGTCTGTGGGCTAGAAGTTAAACACAATCACATATACACATATATACATACTTGTTTTTCCCTAATATTATTATATTATTATATTATGATATTATTATTTTTTCTAATATTATTATTTTATCCAAAATTGTTTCTTTTCCTTTAAAAAAATTCTGCTTTATGTTGGAAGCTTTCTTCAAATACCTAGAGAATTTTGGCTCTCTCTCTATAAATACATAGAAATGAATCACCGACTTGTGGAAATGAATGGGTTTCTTGACTTATTGGGTAACCTACAACCAAATCTTGGTTGGTCAGTGAACTTTTGACCATGTTTTGTATTTTTTCCACACAGATATTTTTATTTATCTGTTTAGATTCTCTAGAGAAAAATTAAACCCAGTTCCTTCCAGGAGTGTTTAACACTGGTTGCTGGCATGAGAATTAGATAAGAAAGGTTGGAGTTCTCATGGTTCAACATGCATCCCATAGGAGAATTCTCTCCTGTGTGCTGTGTTTTCTACACTTCTTCCTGATACATTCTCTGTAGTAGATAAACCTCGATTGTCTGCAGAGGAAGGGCTCAGTTGTGGTGTAATTATGTATCTATTTCTTTACTCGTAGAGGTTCAACTCTCTTGTTATGGATACCTGGGTTGTCAGTGAGTGGTTCAGAATCTTGCTTTTTTTTTTTTTTTATTTCTTTTTTTCCCCCTGGATTCTCTCTATGGTTATTTTAACTTTTCTTTTCTTTTTCATTTTTGTCTTTTTCTTTTGATTTACCTTTCTTGAGCCTCAATTACTATTTGTTTCTAGCTTACAAGCTAGTGTGGCTCCTATCTTTCCTTGGATGACACTTGTTATTTGTAATTTAAAAGTCTGCAGTTATATCAGTAAGATGTTACGAGGAAACAAGAGTGTGCTTCAATTTTAAGTTGTAAATAATTTAGGCCATTTGGGATATCTAGGTTTTCATAATTTTTTAACATAGATTATTTTAAACTGCTGATCTAAGCATGGAAATCACGATGCTGAATGTTCTGCAAAACTGAAAAACAAACAAACAAACACTCCACAAACAGCTTAAACTTTTAAAAGTGTTAAAAGCAAACCCTTCAAAAACAAATAACATACGTCTATTGTCATGTGCTTAACAGATCTCTTAACAACCATGAAGGGACTGAGTACTCTCGGCAGACCAGTTCCATACTTATTAATCATTTTAACTTTTATAATGCAGGAAGTGCCAAAATATCTCCTCACTGCAGCTGCCTATTCCCAGTCCAGAACATTCTTTCCAGTATGACTTGATTATGTCCATCGACTTTGTAACAACCTTCTTATGTTGGGGGAGGGAGTAGAGAGAGTAAAGAACTAAGTCTTGATAGTTCTTGGAATGGAATCAGAGCTCTAACATGAATTTTGACGAGGAGTGGTATTTAGCTGTGAGGAGAAGCAGTTGTTTAAGAACTGAGCTGCTCATTGTATAGAAGAAATAATCGAAAAAGAAAACAAAGTTTGAAACATGAGTCCTCCTTATTTTTTTTTAGGAGACTGGACCCACCAGTCTGTTTTTGTTTTATCGGTCTGCCTGGCTATCTGTTGAATGAGGTCGATATGAGCTTCGAAGCTGCTACCTGGCCACGGGTGGTCTCGAACTCCTGACCTTCCCCCTCTGGCGTGCTGGGATTACAGGCATACTCTACCGCCTCGCAGCTTTCACTAGTCTTCTATCCCATCAGGCTGGACGGGCTGGAGCCCAGCTGTCCGGCCCCTCACTCAAATACCACCGAGACGGAGGTCCGCCCGTGGCCCAGAGCGTCCTTCCCGCGGGAGGACCGCGTGATGACGTCATTCCCAGGGGCCTCTCCTATAAAAGAGCGGCAGCTTGCGCGCCGCCGACGCTTAGTTGTTCGTCGCTGCCTGTCGGTGCCGGCTGATGCTCCCCGGCAGGCAGGGACCCAGGTCGGCAGGCCCAAGGGTCACCTGTCGGTCGGCTGCCTGGTTCTGAGCCGGGGCGAGGGCTGCTGTGAGTTGGTCTCCGTGCCGGGAGCGTGGAAAGGCCGAGGGCTGCAGGCTTCTCTGTGACCCGAGGAGGGCAGGGCCCAGGGCGGCAGCTGCGGGGTGTAGCCAGGGAGCAAGACCTGCTGGAGTCGCGCCCCTGTGCAGGGCAGCGAGGCCTACTGCCTACCCATCCGCCCCTGTGCAGGGCAGCGAGGCCCACCTCCTACCCACCCGCCCCTGTGCAGGGCAGCGAGGCCTACAGCCTACCCGCCCCTGTGCAGGGCAGCGAGGCCTACCGCCTACCCACCCGCCCCTGTGCAGGGCAGCGAGGCCCACCTCCTACCCACCCGCCCCTGTGCAGGGCAGCGAGGCCTACCGCCTACCCGCCCGCCCCTGTGCAGGGCAGCGAGGCCTACCGCCTACCCACCTGCCCCTGTGCAGGGCAGCGAGGCCTACAGCCTACCCGCCCCTGTGCAGGGCAGCAAGGCCTACCGCCTACCCACCCGCCCCTGTGCAGGGCAGCGAGGCCTACCGCCTACCCGCCCCTGTGCAGGGCAGCGAGGCCTACAACCTACCCGCCCCTGTGCAGGGTAGCGAGGCCTACAACCTACCCGCCCCTGTGCAGGGTAGCGAGGCCTACAACCTACCCGCCCCTGTGCAGGCAGCGAGGCCTACTGCCTACCCGCCCCTGTGCAGGGTAGTGAGGCCTACAGCCTTCCGCCCCTCGGCAGGGCAGTGAGGCCTTCGGCCTTTGCGCTCCTCAGCGGGGCAGCAAGACTTAGCCACTTTGTGCACTTGGGTGGGATAGGCAAAGCCATCCACCCTCGCGGTCCTTAGCCGGAGCAACAACTGCTTTTGTGCTTTGTGCTTCTTGGCAGGGCATTGAGGCCCTCACCCTCTCAGTTTCTGCAGGACCTGTGTGCTCTGAGATGGCAGCCCCTACTGGGCCTCCCAGCCCTATGCAGTCTCTTCGGGAAGAAGCAGTGTGCGCCATCTGTCTGGATTACTTTCAGGACCCTGTGTCCATCGGCTGTGGGCACAACTTCTGCCGAGGATGTGTGACCCAGCTGTGGGGCAAGGAAGATGAACAGGACCGTGAACAGCCTGCTCCAGGGGACCAGGTCGTTAGAGAGGTTATGTATCATAGGTACACAGAAGAGGAGGCGTTTCAGCGCCGAGCACCCGCTGGACACTGGGTTGGTAATACCTATAGAAGGCATCACGGCAATGCAGACCCTGTGTGGGATGACGAGGAAGAAGGCTGGAACAACGTACAAGGATTGGTACATGACCTGAGAATTAGGGTTTTTCCAGAAGAAGAAAGGGAGGAACACCACCACAACGGCCACCAGTACCATCACCATGGCCGCTACCCGCCACCGTCGCATCTTCAGCCGCGGGCCCCCACATCCACCTGTGCGTCGGCAGCTCTATCTAGATGCCCGCTTACGTTCTCCACCTCGTCCTACACCGCAGGTCTTCAGCTGCCCACAGTGCCGAAGGACTTTTCCAAGTCGCAGTTTTCGCCCTAATTTGCAGCTGGCCAACATGGTCCATATAATTCGCCAGATTTGCGGTACTCCATGAAATTAGCAAAGCATGTGCTCCCAAGTATGAAGAAGCTCTGATATTCTTCTGTGAGGTAGAAAAAAGGTAGACTGTGTGTCTAGATTCCAGGCACCACAAATTGATGATATAGTACCTACCATTGGATGAATTACTTCAGGAATACAAGGAGCAAAACAAAAACCCTCAGAAACCTGTAGTACTTTGTTCCAGTGCTGCCCCAGTTTTAGGGAGATATTAAGGATTTGCAAATGTCATCTTTGGTTCAGTCTTAAATCAGAATTAGAATTGGGTATGTATGTAATTCAAAAGCAGAATGCTTGTCTGCCTACCATGCTGCACCCCTCCCCCAATTTATTTTGAATTAATGATTATCAAACTTCAGTTTTAGGAAACAGTAGTTCCTTCTTTGTTTGTGTTAGCTGAGAATTTACTCATGGGAATGAGGAAAGCTGCTTTGCTTAGCTTCAGAATTAGGCTTTCAAAACAGAATGTTTTCATGAGCTTGGTGTTTGACTACTTAAAGTATTTTTGAGCTTGTTGTTAATTGATTTGGATACATACTTTATAGAAGTCTCTGTCAGTAGTATAGTAATGCCATACTCTAGATTTTTGGCAAAAGTTGAAATGTGGTCAAGAAATGCTGTGCTATATCAGTGTCTATGAATTATCTGTTGGAAAGGTTTTCTGTCGTCATAAATTAAGAAAAACAGTATGCTTTATTCCAGTTTGCTTTTGAAGATCTGAAGACCTCTCATTGCTTTTGTAAGATCTAAAGTTTCTTGGTCCTTAAAGAGAACTGCATTCAGCATTTGGATTGCAATCCCAACATTAGAGTACCAGTGAAAAATTGAAACTGAAAATATGAAACTTTGAAAAATTAAAACTTTCAACAGAATTTTAACACTGGTGTTGACCCTGAAATGCACTGGCCCTGGACTGGCTATAGCATAATACTAACATTTTCATTGTGTAGTAGTTAAAACTTGCCAAGAACAGCGTATGTAAGTATATGTGGGCAGATTCATATAAAAAGTGCCTAATTTTGTTGGCCCAGAACCAAAAGCATGAATATTATATCTTTAAATTTAAAAATTCAAATTAATATATAAAATAATAGATTTCATTATGACCGTTTCATGCTTGTGTATCATTGTGCTTTGCTCATATTTGCTCCTCTGTTATACTTAATTAAGCTGGTTCATCCTTTTCTCCAGCTAGTCTCTTAATCATATCACATGTCATATATGAAAAATTACTAAGCTTAAATTTTAGGTGAGAAAGTATATTTATTGTTCACTGTTACCCTTTCTTGCACCCCCGTCCTCCTCACTTTTAGAGCCTCTCTTTCCTGTATAGCATTCCTCTATTAATGTTATTGCAAGGAATTCAGAATACACTAAGTGGTATGTTAGACATGTTAAAACCTACATAGGGTAGCTTTGCCGGGAGAAATGGGTTTCACCTTGGTTTCCAGCGCTTTTACTGAAGCGCTTCAAGAAGAGTTTGTGGAATTTAAATAAGTCTGATTGTTTTGATGAGAAACTTGTGTATAAACTGCACACACAGATATGGCTTTTTTGCATTTATTTTTCAAATTTCTCCTTACATTTTTGTTTCTGTTCTTATTTTTTCCTTGCTGTGTCTAACTAGAAGGAAACTGTAAATGTCTTCTTAAAAGTGATTTATGTTTTATTGCATTTTATACAGTACTCAGTAAAGAGAAATTGTTTCACAGTGACATGCTTATATTTAAATAAAATTTTCATTTCAAAATTAAAGAGATTGAATGAAAATTTACTTTCAAAGAATAAATGTTGAAAGTAGACATAACAGTAAATATTGAAGACATGTTAAAAAAATAGAACAGTAAATATTTTCTAACTTAGAATCAGAATGGCCTCTGTTCTTAAAAACTGCAATTCTGAAACTCTTCCTTTTTTATTTATACTTAGTGTCTTTAAATCATGCATCTCTATCCCATTCATTTCCTGTCCCTTCGTATCTGCCCTCTGCCCTTGCAACCTTCCCCCCCAAAAAAATAAAATGAAATTTAAGAGAAAATAGAAAAAGGAAAAATCTTGTCATGGAAGCACAGTGAGTCACACAGTAAACCCTTTATCCACATATCTTTCCTTGCTAGTGTTCATTGCAAAGAGTCACCTATCTGGTTCCAGGCTTCTGGTTTCTGCTACACTATTCGATGCTGGGCCTTCACTGGGACTCCTTCTGTTGTTGCCTTATGTTATGGAAATCCTGCAGCTTTGAGTCTGCAGGACCGGTCCCTTCACGTGCTCCAGCAGATCATATAGATGGGGTGGATGTTGGGGTGGACCAACACATAACCCTGGTTCTGGGCCTGGGTTATTGCAGGGTTGGTCAGCCTGCCAGCTTTCCCTTGTCCTCAACACCAGGATGAGCTAGCTCTTCAGCATTATCTTGGCTAGGGGCGGGCCGTTCTTGTTTCATGCCCTCAGGGTCAGCTTTCCACACCCACACCTTCAGGGCCAGTTCTTCTGTGTTGCCCAGGCAGGTGCAGGGGCCACTCCAGAGTGCTGCAGCTGGTGAGGGGCAGGGAGAGCTGTCCAACTCTTAGGACCTGAGGGCCAGCTTTCCCACCTGCCATGGGTGGTAAGGGGTGTGCAGTGGGAGGGAGGGCCCATCTCTACCCCTCCTGCACCACTATATGGCAAGTGACGGCCAGGGGCCTATATCCCAGTTCACCAGCACCCAGTCAATGGTGTCAGCTCTGCTGTGCTGTCCAGGAGAGGTGCAGGGTCCACTTTCCCCGGTGCTGCAGCTGGTAAGGATGAGGGGGTGGCAGGGCCAAGCGGGGAGAGCATCTTTTCCTCACCTCCACTACCACATGGAAGATGAGTGGGATGTGGCCGATTACCCCACTCCCACCCTCAGGGCCAGCTCACCCTTGCCTCCACCGACAAGGTCAGCTCTGCTACGCTGAGCAGCAGAGGAACAGGGCCCACCTTCCCAAGTGCTGCGCTGGTAAGGGAGAGGGACAGTTCTCTTGTCTGTTGCAGGTGGTGAGGGTTGAAGGGTAAGGGTGGCATCACTCCCCAAATGACAGATGAGTAGTGGGGACAGTTATGCCACCCACCTTTGGGGCTGACTCACCCACACCTCTCCCAACAGGGCCTGCTCTTGGGAGTGCTGCAGCTGGTGAGGGGCTGGGGCACCTCTCCTGCTCTTAGGACCTCAGGGCCAGTTCTTCCACCCACCTCAGGTGTGGAGGAGGGGAGGACATCTCTATTTCTCCCCTGCCCACGCCCCATGCCACCGGATGGCAGATAAGGGGCAGGGCCAGGTCTTCCGTGCTCACCTGTGCCCCTGACAACAGAGTCTGCTTTGCTCTGCTGGCCAGACGAGATGCTTTCCTGAGCATCAAAGCTGGTAAAGGGGAGGATCACCTTTCCCTCACCCCCACCACCATACCACAGACAAGGGGGACAAGGGTACTAGTTATTCCCCTTTTAGGTCCTCAGGCCTGGCTCACCTGTCTCCTGGTCTACAGGGTCACCTCCACTATGCTGCCCAGGCGAGGTGCAGGGCCTGTTCTCTCGAGTGCAGCTGGTGAGTGGTTGGGTCAGGTCCCCTACCTGTCTCAGTAGTGAGGGGAAGAGGGCATCTTTCACTCACCCATGCCACCGCATGACAGATGACAGAGGTACAACATGCTGTCCATTCTCTCACCCTCAGGGCCAGCTCGCCAATGTCCCTGCAAACAGAGTGACCTCTATTTGTGCTGTCCAGGTGATGTGTGGACCCTCTTTCCTGAGTGCTTCAGCTGTTGAGGGGCAGGACTGGTTCTCCCTAGTGTTGCAGCCAGTAAGTGGGGCGGGACCAACTCTGTGCAGCCCTGTCCTCTCAGCCTTTAGTGATATCGGGAGCTATGGACATCAACACACACCATGGCTGCATCAGGGCCATGAACCGAATGGGCCCCGACAGCAGCCCAGGCCTAGACATCACCATGGCTCTGGGTGGCAATCAAGCCATCCACTTCAGCCCGCTCCTCACCACTTTTACCTCTTCAGAGATGCCTCTGTCCACAGGAAATGAACCAGTCTCCTCCCTGTGTGACTAATACCACTTCATCTTCACACATACATCATCTGATTCCCTGGAATGAGCATTATTAAGGCTTCCTGTGTCTAGAATGGTGCCTTTGGCCAAGGATGGGGAAGTTTTTGCAGATGGAAATTCTGCTTTCCTTATTTTTATTGCGGTTACTATTTCCCCCCACTTTTTGACCACAAACAGGAAACATTTAATAAGGATGCTTTTAGATTTAAGCTTTGTTTATAATAGTTGGATTTATTGTTATCACAGGATGACCAGATGTGCCTAAAAACTACTCCATGTTTCCCAACATAGATAATATTAGCCCCTACTCTTTTTCTTTTTGGACGAAGGACTAAACAAATGGTGACCAGACGATCTAGTCTAGAAAAGCATAATTGCCAAGTCTGACTTTAGTGGAGGTGGAGAAACTCCACAGAGGCAAACGGGAATTTAGTTTCAAGATAGTAGTTTCCATGTGCAAGTGGGTTTTGAATTCTCCAACGGAGAAAAATGAAGAGTAGAAAAAAACTGACAAAAAAAAAAAAGATTTAGGACAAGTTTATTTTTAAGGAAACTATTTAAAAGAGTTACATGCAATAACTTACATAGTTTTGTATTACTAAAAATAATTAACTTTTTTTCAGACCTTAAAGTTTCCCATCAATACTTTAAAAGGAGTTAACTGAGCTGACAGATTTCATTACTCAAAGTAGTCTGTCTCATTTTTTATTTCACTTTGACATAAGACTTGGCACAAATCTATTATAAGCAGTGTTCATTTATTGCTGCACTTCTAAGTTATAAATCTGGTTTACATCTATGGAAAATGTAGTATAGTATTGAAGACATGTCCAGTTATCTGGGCAATTTGTTTTATGAGCTTATACCAAATTAAATAGAAAGCATTGCCAGTATTTGTTCTTCCTCTGTGGGCTGCAAGTCAGTTAGAAAAAACCAAACAACAACAACAACCCTTCTTGAACAAGGGCATTCAGGGTTCTGGCTCTTAGTCTGTGTCCTGAACAGGTTCTGATTAAAACATGATCTGAAAGTCTGATTGATGGTGTCCATTTCCTTTTTTAATACAACAAATACGTTCAGAATGTCAACACCTATGAAAGGTAGAATCGTTGATGCTGGATTGCATTCCCCCTTAGTATTTCTTAATATTGGAGGAAATGATTTGGCCAAGAGACAGACAAGGCTGATTTTCTTAGGAAATAATTACTGGAATTTACAATGTTTCATTTAACATAGTTTTAGACTTTTAGAATGATATAACTGAATTAGATACACTATGTTAAGGTGAATTGTAAACAATTGGTTGCTGGTAATGAATGTAATGAGAGAGAAAGCTTTGTTATAATTGGGGGTAAGAGTGGGACACACTATTCTTTCCTTCTGTAGTTCTCTGTTTTGGGAAGGGAGATTGCTTCTAGAGATGGAAGAGGGGAAGAGGGAGGGAGAGGGGGAGACAGATTGAGAGATTCCTAAGGAAACCATTATGGATTGATTGTGGATGGCTGGATTGTTTTTCCCTTTGGGATTGGGGATGGATTGTTCTTTTTCCTTAAAAATATTATAGTAAATTTTGTTTTAGTGTTTTACAAGTGTTTCCTTTTTTTAATATTGTACCTAGGTTTTTGAGACAGGGTCTCCTGTAAGCCAAGCTGGACTCACACTGGTTATATAGCTGAGGATGATCTTGAACTCCATATTCTCCTATCTCTACCTCATAAGTGGTGCAATTAAAAGCACACCACCACATCTGGCCTAAATTATATATAGTGTTTATAGAATGTTGCACTTATTAAAGTTGACTCTGAAATATTTGATCAGCTCTTCTCTCAGGCAAAGCATTTTGGAGGCTAGAGTTTATACCATTTTGTTTTGTGTTGTTCTATTTTCTTGGTGATATTGAGTCATTACTCTATATTAAATTTTTTTGGTTTATTTTTGAGATTACGCAATTATATAATTTCTCCACTCCCTTTCCTCAAAACTCCTTTATACTCCCTCCTTGTTCTTTAAATTCATGGCCTCTTTTTCATCAATTGTTGTTACATGCATATATGTATATGCATATGCATATATGTTCCTAAATATAACCTGGTCAGTCTGTGTAATATTACTTGTATATGTGTTTTGAGAGCTGACCATTTGGTATTGGATAACCAATTAGTGTTCTCTTCTCTGGGGAAGACTTATTTCTCCCACCCTCCACATTCCTTATTTGTGTAGAGTTGAGGCCTCATCATCTTCCCTGTCCATTTTGGAATATATGTTGGTGTTCTTGATCAGTTGATGCTTTGACAGTTATGTTGGTGAGACTTTATAGGTGTAGCTTCTGATGTTACTAAGAGACATAGTCTCACAGTAAACTTCCTGATTCTCTGGCTCCTTTTCTGTTCCCCTTTCCACAATGTTCCCTGAGCCTTAGATGCAGGAGCTGTTTTGTGTATGTGTCCATTGGGACTGGGCTCTACAGGTCTTCATTTTGATTGATTGTGAGTTTCTATAATGATTTCCATCTATTGCAAAAGTGAGTTTAATTAATGAGAGGTGAGGACTAACCTTATTTGTGGGTATAAGGAAAAAATACTTAAAGAGTGTAGTTAGGGATTATGCCAGTTCTATAAAGTGGTTGTAGAT